TGCAGGGAGTTGTTGTGACCCAAGGGCCAGTCCCACCCCTTGGCCATGTTACACCTCACCCTATGGACCTCACCTCCTCCAACCCACCTACCCACATCCCTCTGCAGATCCCTCTGCCCTTCGAGGCGACCCGCAACCCTTCCTGGTGGGGATTCGAGGGGCGGGTGGGTAGAACAGGACCCTCCCCAGGCTGTTTGGGTGCTGATGCCCAGCTGGGGGGTGCCGTGGCAGGACCTGCAGGCCTCTCAGAGCGCGTGCTACTGGCTGAAGGAGGTGCGTTACTCCGACATCGGCACCCTGGCGTGGATGATCACCCTCAGTGATGGCCTCCACAACTTCATCGACGGGCTGGCCATCGGCGCCTCCTTCACCGTCTCCGTCTTCCAGGGGATCAGCACCTCGGTGGCCATCCTCTGCGAGGAGTTCCCCCACGAGCTGGGTGAGGGAGAGCTCAGGGAAGGGGGTAGGGAAGGACCCCGGGGTCTGCCCCTCTCTCAAGAGGTGTTCCTCTTGTCCCCGTGTCCTGGGTCCTACCTGGGGTGTCTCAGGGGTGGGGGCAAGGCTGGAAGCTACAGTGAGGGATCGTGGCTCTAAATATAACCAGCTAATGTGATGTCTGAGGTTTATATTTGGAAAAAAAAGATGCCAAACCCAACGGAGGCCTCGTGTTTGGCAGCAGTTTGGGCTGGAATGGCCCAATTTATGCACTGGGGTGAGCAGGGAGCCCACGTGTGGCGCTGGGTGAATACGAGCACCTTGGTGTCGTCCTGCTCCCTCCTCATCCTCCCCACCCTCTTCTCCCCCAGGGGACTTTGTCAGCTGACCGCGGGGACGACCATCCGCCAAGCGATGTTCTTCAACTTCATCTCTGCCTGCTGCTGCTACCTGGGCTTGGCCTTTGGCATCGTGGCTGGCAGCCACTTCTCTGCCAACTGGATCTTCGCCCTGGCCGGGGGGATGTTCCTCTACATAGCACTGGCTGACATGGTAACTCAGAGTGGCTCTGGCTGGAAGAGACCTTTAATATCCACTCCAACCACCCCCCCAGCACTGCCAGGTCCCCACTGCCCCGTGTCCCTCACCCCACATCTCCACGGCTTGGGAACCCCTCCAGGGGTGGGGACTCCACCACTGCCCTGGGCAGCCTGGCAGGGGATAAATTTCCTTAATATTCAACCTCAGCCTCAGCCTCCCCTGGGGCAACTTGAGGCTGTTTCCTCTTGTCCTGTCCCTTGTTCCTTGGGAGCAGAGCCCGACCCCCCCCTGGCTCCAGGCTCCTGTCCGGAGCTGTGCCGAGCCAGAAGTTTGGGGCACTCCATAAGAACACTGAAGGTGTCAGAGGCACTGGACACCTGCAGCTCTTGTGAGTCGAGTAAAACTCACAAGAAAACGTTTCCTGGGAAAAAGGGGCAAGCTTGGGTACAATTTTTTTGTTTACTTTTGCCAAAGTGCCAAAATACTGACAGAACTTTAGGCAGGCAAGCTTAAAATAATTGGATTGTGTTTTCTTCATCAAGTAGTTACCATCTGAGTTGGAATTCCTCTTCCAGAGGAACGATTTCATTCCAGAAGCACAAAAATACATAAAAGACTCACAAAATCCTGAGCCTGGGGGGGCTGCTGGATGTGTGGAGAGGATCTTCCAGGGTTTTTTTTATTTGTTAGGATGATCTCTTGTCCTCGAGCACAGAGATTTGCCCAAGGTGTTGCTCTGTGCTCACAGCCAGCGTTCATCTCCACTTTGCTTAGCCCCCCATGCTGGTGATGATGGGTGGGGGGTGGTGGGCACTCGATGGGGTGATGCCCCGTGGTTGAGCCGTGCCTTTTGCTCTCTCCTTCTCCCCTCCAGTTCCCCGAGATGAACGAGGTGAGCCGGGAGGACGAGCAGCAGGGCAGTGCCCTCATCACCTTCGCCATCCAGAACGCGGGGCTGCTGACGGGCTTCACCATCATGGTGCTGCTCACCATGTACTCTGGCCAGATCCAGATCGGGTAGGACCAGCCTGGCCTCACAGCCCTGTGCCACGTTTTCCAGGGGGTTATTTTTTAGGAGGGAAAGGGTTGGTTTGGTTTTTTTTTTTTCTTTTTTTTTTTCCCCCCCCCCATTCCTTTTTGATGGGACCTGTGCGGGCGCCGACACGCTATAGAAGAGGAGGCAGCACTCTCAAAGCTGTTCCACAGACTTGTTGGGATTTTGGCTGAAGGCTGAGGGGACCTCAATCCCCTGAACTGTCTGGAGTGTCTCTTTCCAGCGTCCTCTCCCTCCTCTCCTCGTGTCTCCTGGCAAGGACAGAGCTGGGAGACGGGAGCTCCTCCAGCCACCTTCTCTCCAGAAGGTTGGGGACCTTCTCCCGACCCCTTTGCAGGGGGTGTGTGATGATGAGGACAGA